ATATATATATATATATATATATATATATATATATATAAGCTGAGGGACAAGCGAAACGAAGGACCCGCATGGCGTGGTGCCGAGCGCGTTACCCAGGGGTAATTGTGCTTTCGCCCCCCACCACAGTCACCTGCGGTCCGCAGTTTTGCAAATATCTCAGCATTATTGTGGTTATATACATGTATATGCATATGATACATATACATGTACATACATACATATATATGCATTACATACATTTCATTCTAACATATATTTAATCCCTTAATACATTTATTTCTGTTATTAAGATCTAGCAGTAAATTTTCCTATACTCTTACCTGTCTGAATAAGCTCATCTTTAGCCTCCTGGAGGAATCACACGTGGATCTCCAGTTGCCAACAGCAGAGGTCCAGCTCAACGAAGACTGGAAAGGATCTTCAACGATCCGACTGACGCTCGTGAATTCGAGAAACGAGGGTAAATTCATTCACAATTTCTTTGTCTAAAAATCATCTAGGTTTGCACATAATAGATTTTGCATGGATATTGGTGTGACTTTAGGCCGATCCAGCACCTTTGGGAAAAGCCGGATCTAGACTCGCGACGGTTTTAACCCGGATCGATGACTCAACCGCCTCTGTCATTCATTCACATAGTCAACCGTGTTGCTCCCGTCTTTCATTCGGCGACATCCCAGCCACTATCGTTTACCACTGCTGTAGTCGCTAGTAATTTCCTATCTCTCTTTGTATTCGAATAATTTATTTTTGTTAACATTCTGTGTCGCCGCTATTTTAATATTGTTGTTCAATAATGGCTCCATAACTTGGCCTTTGAGCGATGCTTGTCAGGAATAGAGATTAAACTATTCTTCTTGTGGTTTTTCTCACATTTTTAAAATTCGTCTTAACCTTAGGGTAGGCGTATATACGTAGTGTCGAAAAGGTAAGCACCCCAATCCACGGATTTCCGGAATAATCCTCGTTTTGACTATTCGATGGCGACGCTGAATAGTCGAGTTACTACTTTACATATCTACTGACTCGTGTTATGGAATGCCAGAATTTTGAAGCATTTTTTTAACTTACGAATTCGAAGCCGTATCGGCGTCAAATACTCACATATTCAGTTTCCAGATAGGTTGCTAGTATAGCGGTTCGCTTACGAAGATTCGGTAAGCTTTCTATCGAATCTATTTCGAATTTATGAACACTAAAACCGCTGTTCTAGCATTAGTGAGAGACCATAGTGCCTCACTTATGATAGATGAGATAATCCGAAGGGAACGCCAGCTGAATGATTCGAGCGTCGACCAGAGCTCCCACGTGAGTCACTTCTTATACGAGCGCGTTGATCCGCACAACCATAAATTTGTTTTTGCGTAAGTTTTGGATCAGCCATTGCACGTTTTCCTAGAAATTGTAGTTCCAAAATATTCGCATGACCTTTCAAAATAAAGCAGATACAAGGGCATCAGACCAATCAAATTGAGCCCTATGTGTCGACAAGTTCCCCAGATGCGATGGTGACTGGTCTGTTTGTGAGTGTATTGGTTGACATGTGACCTGATGATTTGCACTGGGGCGAGTTTCGAAACAAAGGCTGCGCTTGTAAACGGCCCAGCCGTAAATCAGCCGAGGGCTATCGAGCCGAGGAGACCATTTATTGCCCTCACAGCCTCTGGAGGATCCCAAGGAACAGTAGACGCCAACGACCGCATACACTCAACACACACGTACTTCTTTCGCAGTTTGTCCTATTCTCATCAGTCCCCCTTCATAAATTCCAACTCTGTACTCTTATAGTTCTTCTAATTGATTCTGTTCTAGTTGGAAATCCAAATGCTTTTATCTGACGTCATCAATGATTGTGACCGCACTTTAATAGCTGCATTCAATCGATTTTTTTTCTAGGCTCAAAGTATTTTAATAAAAGATCTAAGGCTAAAATTTGGACAATACTGGAATAGTTATATTTGGCGAGAAAGAGGAGACGGTTAAGAAATGAGAACCACACAAGCGAACAGCTGGCTCCGTCTAGTTGTAGAAACTTTTCGTAGTGACTGGAAATGTTTGCATCAGATTAAGAAGAAACTTGTTCAGCTGTCTTCGATGGCTTTTTGACGGACTTTTTTTTGAGTGTTCTATCTTTCTCGTTTTCAATAAACCAAAATTAATGACCTGTCTTATGATGCGCTCGTTGAACTGGAGAGCAACACGTTCAAGTGCCGAGTCGCTCTAGTATTGAGCGTGTGAAGACTATCGTTTCCTTCCAGCGAAGAATCTGTTTTGTCTTAGGAAAAGATCGCGTTAATGGTAGAATTTCAAATAAAATCTTAAAAATAACACAAATATCGAGCCTCAGATAGACATATATGAAGGCTATGTATGTTGTATTATCGTCATCTTGCTTGCACTAAATGATTCATGTGAGCCAATAACTGCGTGAAAATCATTTAGCATTGGACGTTGTCTGGGCGTTTTCAGTTCTGCTACCGGCTTTAAGGAATCAGAACAGAGTTAGGATGTTATACAGCTATTCAACATACGTCATTAAGCTCGATACGTTCAATAAAATCTTAGCTTAATACTTTAGGTGATTTTGGTGAGAGTTCATACCTAGTTAGCAAAGTGAAAAATGGTACTACTCTGCAATCACTACTTTGTCTACTCTTTTATTGAAAATGTTATGAAATTACTGATGAAGTAAAACGTAAGGTGCTTCGCACAGAGTTCCCATAGCGGGGCTTGGTTTCCTACCCCTATTTCGATAGTGATTTTAACTCACTGACCCCTGAATTTTATTTGTGTTAAAGTACTCATTACTTTTGGAGGTTCAATCATATGTTTGGCTTTTTTGCCATTCATACGGACGTTGAGAAGATATCTAACTAAGACTCTAAGTAATGCCACCTACAGCAGTCTAGAATTTTGCCTAAATTCACAGCACGAGTTCATTAACGTGTTCCGCAGTCGAAGCAGCCGACAACTCCGCGACCCCATCAATACCCGTTGGCTCCGATCCTCGGTGTCGGTCAGTTCGTCGCTGAATGCTCAAGTCGATTCCACTCGTGCATCACCGAGTGATGGATTACTGTAGCCGTGCGAGCGCGTGCTGCTGCGTTTTTCCCGCTCAACCACTCGTCAGTTGCCACAAACTACCGTACCTGATCGGCAAACACGCCACAAAACTCTTATTAAAGTCGATGGCTTGAAACTTTCACTTCTCTTCAGAGGTGACTTTTATTGGACTTTGCTTACATCTGTTGTAAGTTCATTAGAAGTGTGTCTAAATCTAGAAACCGAACTTAATATCTTCGAGAAATCATAGAGCAAGCTATGGTGGAAAATAGCTAAAGAACGACCTTTGTTTTAATTGAACTCGCCACATAGCTTAGAAAGTGCTGTATAGTCGTAGGTCGAACGTTTTTTACAAATTCATATGAAGTAGAATTCTGACCCTCTACCATGCCTGTGCACTACGAATGGGCTGGGCAGTCCAAAAAAGTACTGCAAAAGATTTTTGATATGGTTACCTTAGAATTAATAAGATTAAAGGATGTATTTTTGAAGGCGTTATTGATCCGTTCTGCAGAAATAGCTAGATAGAACTGTAGTAACTTGCAAAAATAAGAGCTTGGTGTTGGCCAGGTTGATTCTGTTAAGGAGAATGTATCGATTTTTTTGAGTGATCCTACCAACCATTGAGTTCTTCTCTGCACATCTTTCAACCACATCCTCCTTTATTTATCCAAACACTTCTAATCGACTTGTACATTTTATTCGTCTATTCTTTTTTGTTTAAGCTCACTATCACTTTAAAGGTCATCACCGTCACCTCGAGCAAACGGTTGTCGAACGAAACTCGCTGAAGTGCTGACTCCTGAGTGCTAAGAACAACAACGACGATGATTTTGTGACATGACTGAAATGCGATTCTGGAGCATTCT